GCACAATATAATAAATTCTTGAACACATGTACTTTTGTATGTTAACAGATTCACACCAAAGCAATAACGTGTACCATATTTTATTGAATTTTTTCTTTTATATTTTTTGTTTATAGTTGTTGCTTATTTTATATTACCGTTGCATCTCCTAGAAATGAACCAGTTTATTGTGGTCAACCATTTGAAATTTGCTTTTTTTTCATTTTTTTTATAAATAATATAAATAATGTGTTTTTTCACTCACCTAATGCAGGCTGATTTATTATATAAAAAGGAAAAACAGAAAAATATAAGTGGAAAAATTGTTAATTGGTCTGACTAACCTTGGGATGCAGATTTTTTATTTAGATAACCACTGAACTCTTCTCGATTTTGTAATCCTCTACTCGTTCAATTCACTTTGAAACAGTACTTACAAATAGCTGCTCTGTTTGATGCTTCTGTTTTAACTAAGAACATTTTTATATAAGGAAGCTATTAGGCTCACTTCCTTGTACCTACTTTAATGGCATCGTTTGTAATTCAGACAATAAATAAAACAAAATACACAAATAAATTACTAAATTCATAATACCACCACATAAGTAAAGGTAATAAACTCTTTTCATCTAAAATGTCAAACTAATTTTTTGCTTCAAGAACAAAAGCAAAAAAAAATATATCTACTACTTGATTAGCTATTCATAATACTCTGAGTCCAACCTGTGGGCCATGTTTTGCACATTCCTGCTATAATAAATACTTTAGTAAGGTTATGGGGTTAAATATACATTATTCGTAAGCTTAACATATTAATGCATTCGCATTCTTGTTTACTATTTATAAGATTTTGTGGTACACCTACCTGAAGTATAATTAACAAAATAATTTTTCACATTACATAGGTTTGCATGAACTTCATGCATTTACAATATTTAATATAATGCATTGTACGATATTTAATATAACACACTACTATACGATATTACAAATGAAATTGTTTGGTATAAATAAAACTGTATATCAGTGACGTAGAAGAGTACGTAAATATTTTATTTGGTAAAGTAAACAAGAGTAGATAATTGTTTTACATTTTGTGATCTTTCAACTTGTTTTGGGGAAAACATTCTTTTGTTGCCGAAAAAAAAACTTAACTAGAATAAATTTTTTATAATTATCAAAGGTCTTGATTTTCAATTTATCTCCATCAATCTATGTACATGTTTTACATCAAAGTATGTCAAACATGTACCTAAAAATTTCCTTCAATAATGTAAATAAACATTTATTCCTGTCTTTGGATTATTCCAAATTTCTCATATTTCATGAAAATAAGCAGGTGTAGTCTCCGCTACTGATCTCCTTTTAAAATGAGTTCATATTCTAATCGTACCAATAAATGTGTGTGTGTTGAGTAAGTGTGTACACATTTTGGTTTTGTTTTTCTAATTAAGTTACAGTGGACGACATTAAGTTCATTATACTATAATAAACGAGTTAATTAAAGCATCACTTATTCTATAATATCAAATAACAAAATTAAGTTTTTGTATTAAAATAGAAAATTTAAAAATTACAATCAGATTTAAAGGCGAATAAATCAACAAAAGTATGCTATTACAATCTTCCATTACATCTAAGTATTAACGATGACATGGTACATGATATTTAATAGCCAATATGTGTGTACGAAATTTATAATTACATTTGTTTCATATTTTTTAATATTTAAACTAACGAAAAATTGTTTTAATCGCAGTGTTTCATCGCAATTTCTCAGTATATTTGCACATACGATGTATGTCAGGGTGTATGAGTTGTTTTCCAATTTTTCAATATTATTTTATGGTACATTGAATTCATTTAGATTTGGTTTAATAATTTTTCTGATAAAGTATATAAAAGAAAATGCGGTAGCATTAAAATTATTATAAAAATTAGCAAAAGAATCTTGTTAGACAAGTTGACCTCATCTTAGATAATGCAAAAAAATAATTTTTGTTGTTGTTGCACACCATAAAATTTATGTCACATTTATGTTTTTTAGTTTATACCTTGGATAATTTTAAAAATTATAATTTAGTGTACATTCTGTTGAATGAATAAAAAATTTAAAAAACTTCAATTAAAAACTAAAAAACAAAAAAATTTATAAAATTAAAAATTATGTTTTGAGAATTTATTTTGCAATTTTTACTTACCCAACCAAACATAATATTATTATTTGCTCCTTTATTTTGTAAATTCAAGTTTTTTTTTTCTAGTTGTTTTATAAAAAGTTTTGAAATAAATTTTAAAAATTATTTACAAAATGTAAATGGAACAATATAATTAAGTAGATAGAATACTTCTGGGTTGGGATAACTTTAAAGATTTTTCAAAACTATTTTAAATGAAATGAAAAATAAAAAATTTGCTTTGCTGAAATAAAATGTTTTTGTAGTTTAACACATATGCTGCCAAAATGACTTTAACAAAAAAATGTTATCATACCTGAAACGAGAATAAAAGAAAAAATTAGTTGCAAAATAATCTTAAGGTATTAAATGAACTTTATATTTAATAAAAATTAAGGTGAATTTAATGTAACACAAAACAAACATAAGTTAGAGTTAAATGTAAACTGTAAATTTGAAATGTAGTTCAAAGAAAATATAATACAGCTCTTACTTGACGAACTTTACCCTAAGTGATAAAATACCTTTCGAAAGAAAATTTTGAAGAAATTCTTTGATAAATCTGAATTCCGTTGTGCATTTTAATTAGTATTAGCAATTCGGATTTCAGGATTTTATAAATTTTGTGTGGTGTTGTGTAAGTTTACATATACAATCCCCGTTGAGTAACCCACCCAGTAACTAAATATTTTCAAATTTTTATGTTACACAACGTATTATTTTATCATTAAAAAATACCCGAAAAAAAACTTATTTTTTTTATAGCAAATTTTTTAAATTCCGTATATAGAACTAGAATGAAATTTCAAAATTAGAATCAAATTTGAATTTACTATTTAAATCTTAATTTTAAGTTGGAGAGAAAAAATTCAAGTAAAATATGATCATGACCTAAATAAGAAATAGAACGATAAAATTAAATTCGAAAATAGATTTAAAAAAATTTTATACCCACATTTTCAAATTACGTTAGGTCATTAATCCTCATCCATACGTAACACCTTGGAACCTATGAACATAACAGTTACAATATATATTTACATAAAATGTATATTTTATGTAAATGTTAAAATAAAAAGCAATTAATCAACACTTTAAGTCCCACCCATCAACAAAATTTCGTTGAAAAAATTTATCTCACTTCTATCTTGTTTTTAATATCCTTTTATACTCTCATTAATTTCATACAAACATTTCTTATTTTCACAATGGTATACCATAGTAGTTTCGATTTACATAGTATGTTATTTATACATAAGTATGAAAAAATTGAGAACAATAGAAAAACTATAGCATCCAAAATGATAAAAAATCATATTCAAATATTTTCTTAAATTTTGAAAATAAATGGGATTTATATAACAAAAATTTTTTTTCTATACTTTAATCCTTTCTTATCAAATATTTTGTCTTCTATCGAAAATGTTTTAGTATAGGGTTTAAAAGTATGAAATATGTACGGGGCGCTTTTTTTTTACTGGCAACCTATTTTTTGATTAATTTATCCTCGAGTTCTGATAATGAATATTCCTTTTATTTGCTTATAACTTTTTAAGAATCTTTTGAAATTATAATATAATATAAATATAACTTTAATTATAGCTTTCGGAACTCCATCCGATTTTGAGAGAAACAATATATAATCATTCTACGTTGATTTCCGGGCACGTGGTCGTATATGGTAACAAGATATCCTCATTAACTCAGAGCTCCTCAGTGGTCGATCAAGATTTGAGATAGCTGCTCTGAGGAAATAAATAGGAATAATAGTGTTAGGAAGAGACATGAGACATGTGGCAACCATGACTGCTCATTCGAGACTCGTCAAAAAAAAATTTATATACAGCTTGAAATTCAGGAAAGAGATCCGCGCATCCACCTTCTAGTAATTCACTGTTGTTTGAACTACTATATTCGCATATTAAGACCGTTGCAGACCATTTGTATAGAGCTTTCATAAGAGAAAAATATCTCATTTCATTATATTGGTATTGTGTCATTTTATTTACATAAGTTTTCTGGTTCCTATATTTTTGATCTTTTAATGCGTATTCTTATACATATATACCGTCTTAAGAACAAAAATTCTCTTTTATAATTATAATAGCAGTGCTAATTATGATAGAACTTTGTAAAAAGTTCGAATACCAATTTATACAAATCATTAGTTTAATCTCAAAAATTATTAGTCTGAATTTTATCTCAAAATTGCTCGATCATTAACATTTTATTATTAATTAACTTTTATGCTATTATTTAAATCAAAATAAGAATTGAATAATAGAAAGCTAAATTATTTTAATTATATTAAGTCATTAAATTGAAAAACTGGTATAAAAAGCTTTTGTTTATTAAATTTCAAAAGGATGCTTTAGAAATATTTATATTTTCCTTACATAATCAAAGCAAATAAGCATAAAGGGGGACCATTTCAATGCAAATTGCTCAGTTCTTTTCCTATTAAATATTTTTCTAAGGTTAATTTAAATATGAATTCAAAATTCTTCTAAACCACTTCAATTTTTTTTGTATAGCTCTTCAACTCTTGAATCCAACAAATGATTTAAATTGGCATTAAAAAATCATTTATTTAACTAAACGTTTATCTACATAGATACATACATACAGATATATTATATAAAACTGAATCCTTTCAATAAATGAAAAATTAATTTAATAAAAATATTATTATTTGTTTGTAATTTTATATTTCTGTTTCAACATTAATTTAAAATAATAAATGAGTTGAATACAATGAGCTCAAAATAAATGACGAAAAAATCACGAACAAACAAAATTTAACTTCGTCAATTGGTATAAGAACATACTAAATACGAGTACAACATGTTTGATATTGAAATAATTTTACAAAGTAAATTTTAGAAAAAAAAATATGGAACTAAGTAACATTCTGTCATTGAATTTAAAAATGAAAAATTAATTCTTTGATTTTCCTTTGAGAAATTGTAAAATATTTTTGCTTTATTATGATTTCCGTCACTGGACCTGCCTTGATTCGATTTACGCAAACTTTTCAGTCATCGAAAATACTGTGGTCATTCACTAAATCCGTGAAATTTTGTATAAATAAAAAATTTCATGTTTATCCAGGAGGAATATTAGACAAAAAAATTTTGAACCGGTATAGACGTCTTCAAATACCGGAAAATAAAATTCAAGTGACATATCTTTGGATTGATGGTATTTCAAATATACGTATAAAGGACAAAATAATTGATTGTATTCCACAACAAGCACTTGATAATCGATTTGGCGAAGTTGATGATTTACCAGTTTGGCAATATGATGGCGGTTCCACTTATCAAGCTTCAGCAGATAATTCTGATGTAGTTTTAATCCCAAAAGTCATATATAAAGATCCATTCAAAGCTGGAAATAATGATATCATAGCTTTATGCGAAACTTTCCATTCAGATGGTAGCCCTACAGCAACTAATAAACGAAAAGAGTGTACTGAAACATTCTGTAAATATGAAAATGAAAAAATGCTATTTGGATTCGAACAAGAATATACTGTTTTAGGTTTTGGCGGAAGACCATTTGGCTGGCCAATAGATGGTTTTCCTAAACCACAAGGTCCTTACTATTGTGGTGTTGGTGGTGATAAAGTATTTTTAAGAGATTTAATGGAATCACATATTATGGCATGCCTCTATGCCGGTATTGATTTACATGGGACAAATGCTGAAGTTATGCCTTCACAATTAGAATATCAAACTGGTCCAACATTTGGAATTAAAGCTGCTGATGATTTATGGGTTTCCCGTTATATTTTACAGAGAATAACTGAAGATTTTGGTTTAACAGTAACATTTGATCCTAAACCAATACCCGGTGATTGGAATGGTGCTGGTTGTCATACAAATTTTTCGTCAAAATCAATGCGAAATGATGGTGGTATTAATGTTATAAATGAAATTATATCGAAATTATCAAAAAAACATAAAGAACATTTGATTGCTTATGATCCACATGGTGGATTAGATAATAAACGAAGACTTCTAGGTACACATGAAACATCAAGTATTGATACATTTACATTTGGTATTTCTGATCGTAGAGCTAGTGTTCGTATTCCATTAAGTGTTTCAAAATGTGGTAAAGGTTATATAGAAGATCGAAGACCAAGCTCTAATTGTGATCCGTATAGTGTTACCAATGCTATTATAACAACAATTTTTGGTTGTCATTAATTTTTTGTTTTGTTCTGATTAAAGTCTTTTGAATTTTGAAAATTCAATTTGTAAATTTTTTTTATTAATTTAATACAAAAAAAATTTTTACGGGAAATTTTAGAAAATATTTACATGCCACATTAAAATTGCACTACAGGTATATTAAATGATGTACAATTTCATTGGATATTTTATTTTATACAAAAAAAACTGCTCTTCTTACACATACTCAAAAAACCACTCATACCCGTAATAGCTTAGCTGTGCTTCTACATTATTCAATTAAAAACCTCGAAATATAATTGATAATTAATTATGAACATAATTTATTATCATAAATTTTTTATACCCACTTATTTATTAAACCACAGAAATTCCGATTTCATTGTATAGTAAAAGAAAAGAAAAAAATTTAAGGAAATTTTTAAAATTAAATCAATGGAAATAAGTGGAAAATTACAGAGAGACTTACAAAGTGGAAATTATAAAAGGTTGTGAATAAAATTTTTATATTCAAGCATTGAATTTTTATATTGACTGAAGTTTAGAAGTTCAATATTAAATTCTGAAGTAATTTTCGAATTGTGCAGTATCTATAGTTTCAGAAATTCGGCATGGACATGAAGTGGTTCGACGAAATTTTGAATTGACCCCTACAAAATTATAGGACATTGTTGTCTTAGTATATAATTTATAAGTTCTTGACACAATTTTTTGATTCTTTGAAGTCATTTACTTGTGTGTTTTATCTCCAAGGACATTTTTTTTTTTTTCTATGTAACACAAACATTATTTAAGTTCTGATATACATGTATTATATGTTTTTTTATTTAAATTAAAATATATTCAAATGATTGCATGTTACAATGAAATTCATTCCATTTTATTTTTGTAATAAATTTTTAAAAAATTCATTCATGGCATAAAATGATTAAAAGGACATAAAAAAAATATGTATTAAAAACAAACATTCTTTTTTTTTTAATTTTTTTAAATCATTATAAAAAATACCATAAAAAAAGAATTTTATTTGAATATTAAAAATTCTTTTGATTTCATAAACAAAGCTAAATTATAAAATAATTATGAGAATAAATAAATAATTATGAAATTTATAATTTTTTACCACATTGTACATAATTCTGCTGTGTTCGGTCTGGTATGAAAATTTATGATTGATTTTGGGTTTCTCATGTATAATTACGTATACTAATATTCTGTTGGGTTTTATTATCGTAAATACTTAAAATATTATGAAAAAATAATTATTGAAAAATTATTATGTATGGTAATTTCAATGGTTTAATATTTATTTTTTATACAAAATATAAAGACATAAGAAAAAATTTAAATACAAGTAAAATATAGAGAAAAATTAAAAAAAAAATATTGTGAACAAACCAAAATTTATTCAAATTAAATGGAATTTTTTATGTCAGAGATCTAAATCATATATTGTAGCTCTAGTAAAGCTATAGTCAGTATTTAAAATTTAACTATAATGGTAAATGAGAAAAATTCGGCGCAAGTTAAAGTTTTTGAAAACAAATTTCGTAAATGATGCCTTGAATTATTTTATTAATTTAGTAAACAAACCCTAAGTAAATCAACTTGTTTATCTCTTATTAAATATTGGTAGTAAGGTTTCTTATAATGATGTTGCCATATTTGAAAAAATCTTCTTCACTTTCTTATTATCAATTAATCTTGTAGCAATCTACAGATGTAAAATTATTGCAATTTTCTATATATTGAGAAGTGAATCGAAATAATTTTAAATTATTTCTCATTTTAATTTAAACATTTATAAATAATCATTTGTTCAGTTTGTATACAATTGAAAATAATTACTATAGATAAAAATAATTTCTTTAATAATTTTTTAAATTTTATTTTTATTTTCAGGAAAAACCTTTCCGCCACAAACTCCACTACTATAGATATAAATTCTTCTATACAAGAAAAATTGTGACAGAATGCAAATTTTTATATTTTACCGTTGTACCTAAACATATTCATAGATGCACACGTGAAATAAGTTTAGAATTTAGTTCAAAGAATGAGAACGTAAAATAAAAATAAAATGATAATTTGAATCGAAATTTGAAACAGTTTTCATTTTTGTATATGGTTAAAATTCTTTTAACAAACTATTGACAACATAGAATTCTAACTGTATATATTATTATGTAAGTATTTATATATGTACATATGTATGTATACTATGTATAGTAATAGTGATAACTGATAATCTTAACATACATTTTACATAATGTTCATGTTTATTTATTTTATTTACAATATCATTAAGATTTCTATGCATGCATAATAAATTATTTTCTGTTTTCATATAGCCACCATGTGCGGAACCTGAATTTTTTATACTTATGTTTGATGTGTACAACTAGTTATAGATACTTCAATAAGTGTGGTTCAATACTTAATATACAGTCAGCATAGCATACACGCAGAATTATTCTATAGTATTTTTAAAAAAATCATCATAATATTGTACACAGTGTAAGTAAAATGAGTTTTTATCATTTAGTATTTCGATTTTCAAAATATAATTTTATATTTTATGAGTTGAAAATACTTAAAAACAAAAAAAAAAAATATTTTAATAATGTCAAGTGACAGTAAAAAATCATTTGTCATACTTACATTATTTGGAAAAAATTAATTACAATTTGCTTTTTTATTTTTTAGATTTTTTATTTTTATTTCCGCTTATTTTGTATACTATATAAGTACAAAAAAATTTTTTAAGTTTAATTTTAAAATTTTACAATGCACATTTATTATCCACATTGTAACTGCTTTTAATATGTCAGATGACCATTAATTTTGTTAATTAATAAAAATATTAAACTCTGAAATAATTTTAAATAATACAAAAGATTTTAATAATTATAATCTCAATATTATAATGAGGACAAAATATAAATATACATATTTATGAATATAAACAAATATATATATTGTATGTGTAAATATGTAGTCATAATTGACCTATATTAATAAATCAGGAATATAAAAAAGATGTCAAAAGACTTATTACTATAATGATGGTTAATTATTTCCAAATTATCACAATGCACTCTCATATAATTGTGTTAAAATATTATGAATTTATTTTAAGTAGAATAAAAAATAATTATTAAAAACTAGTTTGGAAATTATAAATCAAATTAAAATTTGTACTCCTAATTAAATTGTTTAATAACTTTTTAAAGTTACACGGTGTTAAAGTAAAAATCACGGAAAATAACATACGACAAGAGTATTGAATATGTTGACAAAGTATAGTCGTATAAAAAAATTTCTTATGTAAATATCGAAAATTAATTAAATAGCTTTTTGATTTTCTCATTCTCTATTTTCTCTATTCTCTTAAAAAATTTACTTTTCTATAGAAATTAAGAACATTAATTTTCTCTTTTCTTAAGCATGCTCTTATTTATAACTTATTGTTCATTAATTCTCGCACATCCGTTTCGGCATTCTTTGATTTTGTGGGTCAACTTTAAACTCTTGCTTGCAAAATTCTATTATGAAAAAATATTTTCAAATTAATATTTTGAATTAGATTGTTACTTAAAAACAACTTTTTCACATTTTTTTCAAAAAAAAATTTTTATTTTTTAACTTTTTCAGAAATTTGCACCATTTTTTTTTTACAATTTAAGGTGCGTGTTTTTAAATGCAACATTCTGCATAAAATTTAATTTTTTTCATAAAACAATTCTAATCTTTTGTTCATTCAGTTTTTTTTTATTTTCTTTTTATTTAATTTTCGGTCAACAAGAAACGAAAATATCAATCGAGATTTTTATAAAATAGAACACCCATGTCTCTGACAAAAAAAATTCTATTGCTTTATAAAAGTATAATTAACCCTTTTTTCCACATTATTTAACTTTTTTTTTTATATTGTTAGAAATGAGAAAATCGTACGTAAAAATAATTTTTTTTTTTAATTTTCTACTACAAAGTGAGAGAAAATCATAAAATCAAAAAAAAAAAACGAAACAGTTAAATAAAATGGTTTTTAATAAAAAATTTTAGCTTAATAATCTAATCATTGGCAATATTTTTAATTGAACCTGTCGAATTGATTCTACATGCATTGAAATTTTTGAATAATAAATAAACTGGCATTTTTCTAAAATTCACATAGCACATACAGAATTACATAAATTCAACATACAAGCACTGTATCATAAATTATTTATACTCAATAATGTGTTCGCCATGAATTTTATAAACCTAAATTAACGTACATATGTAAGCATATATTTAAGTATAGATACGCATATCATTAAATTATTAAAAAGCGTGTACACCACTGTATTCATTTAAAATCGTATAATATAAAGTGTACGGGATAAGAAAAAATAGAAAAATATATTCAGTATGGCATTGCTTCTAAACTTAATTGACAGCTACTAGGTGTGGTGTTATATGAAGTTAATATTCAAGAATTTCAATCCTGTATTTGGAGTATACATACGTACATTTAACAAGAGTATAAAAATTTTCAGTATTATAAAAATTGAAATATACACACCTATTGTAATTGAAAAGTTTTTAAAATTATATAGTTTCAGAACCTAAACATTTTTCGGAGTTAAGGAGTGAAACGCATCGGTCTTAGAATATATTACTGTAAAAAAGTTGTAGAACTTTTCAACATTTTATCGTATTTTTAAATTTTAAATAAGATATGAGTTAATTTTTGCATTTCCGATCTGTATGAAGCAAAAGGTTAAATTAACGTTTGCAATTCTGACTGTGAGAGATCTTATTAGTTAAAACTGTACTGCAATAACACTAGTAAAGCAGCCTGCAAGCAGAAACTCTGGTTTCAAAAAGTTTAATATATATTCTCTTCTGATTGGGATAAGAAAAAAAATTTATGCTGTCGATTTGACAGAAGATCTTTTGCAGTACTACCATGAAAACAGAATACCTTTTGCAGCAAACTACATTGCAGAAATTTGTTAGAACTGCTAACA